ATAAAATGATAGCCTGACAGTCATAATCACAAAATTCATAAAGTGTAAGTGCAGCATTAAATATACATTTCAACGGTCTTCACCATACAAGTGAGAAATTATAGTATATTGCTAGTTTCTTTAAGTTACAAGAGCAAGCAGTAACTGGCTAACTCTCCAACAAAATTTTGGCTGTTTTCACTCCATTCAAAACCTAGGAAAGATTTTGTGTTTACAACACTACACAGTGACTCAAGTTAACTAAATATACTTGATTTAACAATGTACATTATTTACTCTCAACTGCAAGTGTAGGGCATAGATATGTGTCTAAGACCTAGGTTTGGACTATACTAAGACATATTTTCACGCTTTTGGCCTTATTTGGGAATCAAATATGACAGAATTTGGAGTAATTGGTACATACTTCATATACTTGAGCAATAATGAAGAATCTAGAATCAAACATCAAACTTTGCAGCATGCAAACTAGATCCTAGATTTTTGCCTTCATCATACAAACTTAATCATCCATTTGATCAGTACAACATTTATATATCTTCCATATATCTCCCACAAGCACATAGATCACTTGTAATTCTTTCATCTCGCGCTTCTAAGATTCGGGACTAGTGTGTCTAAGATGGGTTTTAATCCCCAAATATTTGAAAATGTCCTCCTTATCATCTGAATTTTTTTAGAGCTAAGTCACCTCCAACATATCATATAAATTTTTCAACCAATCAATTAATCAAAATACATAGAAGCCCTTTCCTTTTTAATGAACTCCACTAAAACAGTATCTTTCACTAGGGACTGTGAAAGTAAGTTACATATATACTCTAAAGGTCACCCACAAAGTAGGGCATGGATGTCAGCTAGCTTAACTCATAAGGTCTTCCAAGTGCCACCGAGAGATCGAATCTTGTCTACATCTTTCCCCTGTCAACCCCTACAGGATTCTCTTTCCTCCTAACACTTGAATGCTAATCCTAAATTAGGAGCAAAATTTTGCTACAAGCTAATCACTAATCACACCAAATTCAAGGCTTCAAGCATATGAATACAGCTAAATTCCAATATCATTTATTAAAAAAAAAAAACCCACAAAATTAAGCAACCAAAATTCAAACGTTATCAAACACAAGCAATAATTTTGTAACACATGCAAAACAAAAACATAAACGATAAATTAAACTTCAAAAATGAAATACCGGCAACAACATGAAAGAACGGATGTACGGTTCTTAGACAAATGCATCACATCATCACCATTAGAAACCCTCAACCCTACAAAATCAGCACAAAAAACCCAAAAAAATTACAGAAAAATTAACCAAAAAAACAACAAAATTAAGCAAAATTATGACTAAAAAACAAGAAATTACCAGTAAATCGAGCAGATTGTAAAGTAGAAATTGCACTACCAATTGCCATTTTCAGAGCTCAAAAAAGGGGAAAAGGGGTCAAAATTCAGCGCCGCATTTAGAGAGAGAAAAAAAAAAGTGAGAGAGTGAGAGTTACAGAACAGAGAAGAGGAGAGCAGCAGATTACAGGTCTGCTCAAAATGAGTATAGCCCACACTTCAACAGTGGCATTATCCGTCATACCTGAATATTTATTATTAAATTTTAAAATATGGTGGAAATTTCTGCAAGAATATGGTTCATACGTGTGACATGGATGATGTCCACGTCATCATCTTTGAAAAGACTTGGGATTTTTTTAATGGGTATTATTTTATATTTTTGTTTGATCCAATCAAGAGTCAAAGATATTCTTATTTTTAAAGAATAGAAAGTCAAATGATATTCTAGTGACAATCAGGTTGTACGGTTTGGGTTTGGATTCAAGTCACTGACTTGCAAATTCATAGTCTATTAGTGTAGGCATGAAAATTTTAATCGACCATGCGTAAGGTGCATCCGTTTCCAGAAAAAATAAATTAAAAATAAAAAGCGGAAAAAATATTTTTCTTTGGATTTTATTATGTGTCACTGCTTATTGTTTGGGTCAAAGTCAAAATATAATGAGAATCAATCCCATGATCACCTGAAATTGGGATGAAAGCTTTAACCACTTGAGTTATTCCTCACTCCCATAGTCAAAATATTAACTATTATATCTTGATTGAATAATTAATTTGAGTTATTTTGGCCAATTTTATATATTTTAGATAGACTCATTTAATTAATAATAAAACCCAACAGTTTTTCAAAAAAAAAAAAAAAAAAAAAATTAAACCCAACAAAATGGGTTTTATTAGTTATCAAATGGATTGTCTGTAAAATTAGATGAAAAGCACATTTGGGTTAATGAAAAAGAGAGTTGTCGTTAGGCCTATTTAGGTGGTCATCTTAAAACCCTAGCCTATGAGAATTCTATAAATAGAACTCACCTCTTTCATTTGAGGCATATAGAAAATCCAAAGAAAAACCTTTTTACATAAAAAAATCTCTAAACCTAAAATCATCACTAACTTCTCTAAAAACCTCAAGACAAATCTTTATTTTGCAAACTTAAATTTTGTGTCTACAATTTTTTGACACACTCAATAGGACAATTATTACTCTTTATCTTCGTTCTCTAAGTTTTAAAATCCGTAGAATTAATGGGGATTCTGTCAAATTTGCTTCCAAACTACAAGACTTAGTTGCGTCATATCTACCCAACCTATCTTGAAATGGCATTTGTTGCGATTAGTTTTAGGTGTCAAATACATATATGTAAATAAGAAGATAATATCAAAAAAAAAAAATACTTCGTATAAGATTAATAATTCTCGACTAGAATAATCACAAAGACTTCATCTCCTCCTTACTATTGGATTAAGCCTGGTAAGTACATAATATGGATTAAGATGACAACAACTCATAGGATAAGCAAATATCAAAATTGTACACCTGTCAGAGAGGAAATAATATTTATATTTCTTTATATTTTTAATTTTAGTTTGATGTGAGTCGCAATCAAATGTATTTAGAGGAATGTTTTATTGTTTCAAAGATGAGGCATGTCTTAATGTGTTGAAAATAATGAAAAGTCTTATGATTGATGGAGTTATAATTTCGAAAATTTTATCTTTAGTTGTCGATCTTTGTAAATTCTGACATGTTTTGATGTCTAGATTAAAAGATGAGGCATGTGTTAATGTTTTGATTGATGATTAATACAAGTAATTTCGAAAATTTTATCTTGAGTTGTCATTCTTGCATGTTTAAATGTCTCAAAGATGAGGGCATGTCTTAATGCTTTGAAGATAATAAAAAGGAGAGTGTTTCAATTACTTCTAAAGGTGTAATAATTATAATTGAATATTGATAAAATAATAAGGATATAAAACATTAATACTTTTATATTATACTTCCTCTGTTTCACAAATATTGCAATAAGAATGAAATTACGCATCCCAAAGCACATTTTATTTGCTAAATATTTAAAATTATGTTAGAGTAAAAATTATAAAAAGTTGATATTGTGAAAGTATTTTACGAGAGGAATCTAACAAGACCTCACATGCCTATATTTTACACGTATGAATCATAATATGTGGTCAAACAAACGTGATGAATAGTGTAAAATTTCAGTTGTTGCAATATTACTCAAACAAAGGAAGTATATATATGTATATATATAATTATTATAACAATATGTCAAAACATTCTAAATTATCATAATATTCATATCCTATCAAAATATTATGACAGAGCTATAATTAAATAAGATTAATACATTAGTTATAGCTTATAATGATGTTATAAAACACCAATATCACTATTTCTGACAAGCCATTAAAAACATCAAATTTAGGATTTGTAAACAAATTAAACAAAGCAAACAAATCAAAGCCTCTCAACCAATGTGACCATCAATCTTACAACGATCCCAAACTTCATTATTTTTTTTCCATATTAAGGACACCAATTTCTCATCAACTTCTTTTGATTTGACGGTTGCATCCGTCAAAAGGTCATGGCATTGTCTTCCCATATTCATTAGTGTTGTGCAACATTCTTGTGTAACAATTTTTGCATCAGCAAATACATACAAAAATATTGCATTTCCACAAATAGCACCTGCCTTATTTGCACATTCTACAAAAGAAACATTGTTAAAACATGTGCATGGACTTGGACTAGGCTCATTAACGGCTTCAATGATAGCATTTGGTCTAGAGACTACAAAGGAGGTTAGTAGCACCAAGAACATGACAAGTAAGTTTATGTGTATGTGTAGGGCAATTTTAGTATCCATTGTAATGGAGTAATCGAGAGAAAATGAATGTTATGATGATAAAATATTCTTATAACCACTTTTTATAGGCACAAAGATAAAAACGAAAGTTGAGATTATAATGGGGGTTTCTATACATATAAGTTATTTAATAAATGAAATTTTGTAACTTGTAACCTACTTTTCGTTTCTCTAATCACTTTGTAACTCTTTTTGTGGAGTTACATAAAAGTTATAATGAATGAAAATAATACTTTTCCGACTCATATAGAAATTTTTACATGGCTAACAAAAATATCCCATTCAAATTTGTTTAATCAAGGACTGTTTTAGATAGTGTTTATTTATAACAAACGTATCAACATTAGTTAGACTTGTGACGAGTACTATAATACTTTAAAATATATATTGATAAATATAATATTATCAAATTTGCATTTTAAAATACTTTCACAACACCTATTAGTGTTAATTATGTCAATATATATTTTTCAACCAACATTGTCAACTCAAAAACTTTTTTTTTGAAGAAACAAACTCAAAACCTCAATAGAATTATATTTTTTGAGTTTAGGAAACACAAATTTCAATCAAGAATCAAAGTTTCATCCTCTCAAAAGTCTCAATATAATTGCAAGAAACTAAAATCTTTAGAGAATCTTTAAAGTCCTAATTAGCCAAATCTATTACTCTTGTTATCCAAACAAAAACCTCAATTGACATTAACATGTCAAATTCAAATTTTAAGAACAATGAAAAAAAAAATTAAAATCTTTCCAACAATTGAAGAGTCAAACAACATTTTCAGATTGTAATAAGATCCAACATTCATAGGGGTAAAATCATAGTTCCAAGAAAACTCAAGAGATGTTAACGAAACATGACCCTTGATCCATCCTTTTTGGGAGGCTACACAACTCGTATTTCACAGCATTAAAAAATAACTTCATATCAAACCTTCGAGCTAAATCACAACCAGCTTAACGGAAAAATGTTGCATCGTTTTGAACCAATGCTCTCTACATACAAGGTGACTCACATACAATGACTCTATCAGGTGTTAAGGCTCAATTCCTCTATGTATTGCTTGCACTCAACTCTCTCATACTTTTCAATGATCCTACAAACTGTAAATGTAAAAAGATACAAAATGTAACATCTGTTGCAAGAGATAGAGACTACTAAATTCCTCGCTATCTTTTTATTTCCAAAAAGGAATATTTTGCCCGTTGAAAAGAATTACTGTAAACTCGTCAAGAATAATAACAAGCTATAATGCCATCAGTATTATGCTCCCTTCTTACAAAACTTTTCAAGCCATTCCATAGTCACACTCTTTGGCCTCTCTAGTGGTAAGCCAAGAGCTCGGTCCCATATTAGCTGCATGAGGAGATCAGATAATGTAAAAAGTTATAACGAATTACAAACAGTCATTTCCGGTGAAAACTAATGAGCAAATTTAGATAATAAAAATGATCAAACCTGTGAGCAAATGCCAAGACTTCTTGATACTCCAAATAAAACTGTATAGTACCTGTCAAAGAAGATATTTGTTATATGACTAGGAAAGTAGTTTGAAAGATTGGAATACAAAAGAGGAAAACAGGAAATGGAGGATACCTTGCTTCCGTCAAACCATAGTGGTTCAGCAAAACTCCACTATGAGCGTCAACATTCGGCCATGGATTCTTAACCTACATAATCCAAAAACATCATACATTAAGAGAAAGAGAGAAACTCGTGCAAATTCTTGAAAGAACTAGCATATCCAAAGCATTATACCTTTCCAAGTTCTGTTAGAATAGGAGGCACCACTTCGTACAACTTTGACACCTGCAAAAACATTTTATTGAGGTTTTTATCTCAAAAGTTAAGAAAGAAAATGATCATATTCTTTCAGAAAATATATACCAATTGGAAAAGTGGGTCGTGAGGCATGTGCTTCAATGCGAATTCTCTCTGACATGTGTATCTTGGATCTGTCTTTCGCAGAACTCCATGACCATATCCAGGTACCACCTATAGATTTAAAAGTGTCCATAATAAACAGCCAAGTATGTTGTAGAACCTTTATGGGAATATGGGGCATGGATGACCTTAGATGAGCAAGGACAACAACATCTAACAAGATTTAGCATGAACATATTATCAAAAATTAACGAATTGAGAAAAAACAGGTGGGCAGTTTAAGACTACTGTCAACGTATACAGTTTTTTTGACAAATGGGAGGATCTATCATAACCACAAGCAGAAGGCTCAGAGATAGCTTTCCTATTGTTACCTATGGCCCTTGTTGACAAGATGTATAAGATTTTACTATATCCACTTAGCCCACTCATTCCCTTTCTCCCCTTATCCCAAAATTTCAATTAATCACAGTCACACCAAACCACACCTTGCCAATGTTGCCATAGAATAGAGCACTCTATCATATCTGTAGCTAACTCAAAGATAATGTTGCACCATATTTGTCGATGTCTAAAATGCCTTTAATTACACTTGATGCATACATTTGTTCCCCCATCAATCAGACAATCACCCATTCCAGCTTACATGTCATAGTTGTTATAATTACAATGCGGCACAATATTCCCATTGGAATTGTAATTATCCTTTACTCAGCTTGTCACTAGAAGATAAGGGCCATGCTTTGAGAACTGAAGGCGTTTTCATATAGTAGTTTGATAGATTGATATACATACTACGTACATGCTAGAAATGCTACAAAGGAAGACCCTCTCTCACACACACACACACACACACACAAACACAAAACAAAAAAAAAAAAAAAAAAAAAAAAAGGACAACCTCCAAATAAAGAATCAATAAAGGGGGGAGGTAACTCAAAATATATAGTGAACGTAGCTAATGCTAGTTAGCAAGTTATTGTTCAACGACAGCATGACTATTGATCATAAATATGATTTATCGGCTTACCTTGCCACTGTTTAGTGTCTTCCAAACATAATCTTTCAACTGCTCAGTCGAGATGTTCTCTCCACATTCATCAACAACCGACTTAATCCACAGCAGCACTTCCTGAGACAAGAATAAGTCAGGCATGAAAATGATGAATATAATGGTGTGTTTTAGAGATTTAGCTTGTTTCAATGCATGGTAAAAATGAAACTGAAAAAACATGTAACAACTTCAAATTGTAGCCTTGTAGGAACTCAAATTCATGAACGATTACAGCTTAGTGAGGGCATGAGCACATAAGCAATCAAACATCTCATCAAAGTAGAATAAATTGTATAACTAACAATGTTTTATTATGCAGGAATAACTGACAAAAGAAATAAAAATAGGTATGGAAAAAAATTATACCTGGTTGGCTAATCCGTGGAGTGGGCCAGCTAACCCATTCAATGCAGCTGCAAATGATAGATAAGGATCCGAAAGTGCGCTACCCACCTACATTGTGGTAAGAGCAGGTCAGAGTCCTAAAGCTCAAGTGTAATATTTGATGCATAAAGATGCTTCTTATTGCTTTTTTTTCTTTATCGTGAACTCCAAAGAAACCCACAAATGCAGAAGCAAACTAACTGAAAGCCGAGGAAGAAGAAAGTTAATTTTTCAGATATTTACCAAATGGCCAGTGTGAGCGCTAACATTTCCACCTTCGTGATCACTGCAAAATAGGAGAAAAATATTTTATCTTAATGTAAGCAAATTCTATTATTCTAATCAAACACGTCTTGTCTGAACATTCTGACATGTTTACCTGTGAATTGTGACATAAAGCCGCATCAGCTCAAGCATCTGAGAGCTATCAAATCCCAACATATGTGCAAAATTTGCACCATAATCAAGGGAGTCATCCTTTGGTATAATTTCTCCATTCTTATACATCCTTCAACAGAAAAATAAAAAATAAATCAATATTTAGCCAACTCATAACTCAAAATAAACCATGAGCAACAACCTTCACACTATATCCAGGAATTGACATTAAATTGGCAGCAGGAATGCAGAAAGCAAGGCCAACCCATCTAATACTCTTTAAGCCTTCACCATCCTTTTGAGGAGCCATTATAATATATATAAAAATCATGCACTATGCAATCACTTTAAAGTAGTAAATCACGTAAACTCTTTTTCGGCAATGCTTTATAAGTTTTGAGTAAAGGATGGATGCCATCAAATTTTCAAGGGTATTTCCATATAAAGGGAGTGAACATATTTCCAAAAGATATGGAAGTTTGTCACTAAAACCCATGTACAGTTCATCTCACTAAACGGTTCTAGCTACATCAAAACTCATGAAACACACAGGGGCGGACCCACCTTTAGTCATAGTGGGTCCGGTGACACAGTATTTTTTTTAAAAATAAAATATCAAAGAGACCCCTTATTATAGATAGGTGGTCTCTTTGATGCTGCTATTGGTAACAACAAACAATATCAAAGAGACCTCTTATTAAGATAGGCGATCTCTTTAATGCTGCTATTGCTACAAAAGACTTGCTGTGGTTTTTTTAAATATTAAAGAGACCTGTTATTTATATGAGAGGTCTCTTTGATGCTGCTATTGCATTTCGCAATTTTTTTGCGCTACTTTCTTTTTTCATTAAAGAGACCAGTTATATTTAATAACTGGTCTCTTAAGTTATCTCACTTTTTTTTGTATAATTTTTTAATAATTTTTTTTCCCTTTTTATATCTTATATTTGTACAACCAATTTTAATATTTTCCCATAAAGCTTATCAATTAACTAAAAAATCATAAAGTTAATTCAATATAATAATTTTATTGTACTATTTGTTTATAACATGTTATTTGTAGTATTTTCGACTTGTAAAATTGAATTCTTAAGTATTGTATTTGGTTGTGGTATGAATTTTTGTGTCCTATTTTTGGATTGAAATCAATTTGGTGAAATATATATATATATATATATATATATATATATATATATATATATATATAATTTTTGGATTGAAATTAATTATGAACAAGACATGGAAAAAAAAAAATTGTACTTTCACAAATGATCAATAATTGATGGTGACACACTATCTCGGAAATCCTGGATCCGCCACTGCACATGATATACTACCTCCGTTACTTTTTAGATGCAACAAAGGGGTATTATTTGTGAGATATAAAATATTCCTTTGTTGCAACTAAAAAGTAACGGAGGTAGTATATATATGCCCTTTTTAAGTGTACATAAGATGGTAGACCTGGGCTCCAACAGATTGTGACTTTAACCACATAAATTCCTGGATGCTAAAACTTTAATATCTGAGAGCTCATTTCATTTACTTTCTGCTATTACACAAAACAACACCAGAAGCTGGTAAATCACCATCTCTGGAATCTGAATGACTGATAGAAGGTTTACTGACCTACGATAAATATAAGCTGCAACAACAGGAACTTGAGCAATCAAAGTAAGGCAATCCTCATATGTTGGCTCCCAAAACCTGGAATCAAAATCACCTTTAGTACTTGACTAGATGAAGAAAGTCAAGAGTCTACAAGACAGGTAAAATACAACCGCAATAAAATAACATAGTGACTCACTTTGATTTGTGGATCCCTTTCTCATATGCCTTCTGAAATTCGCTTTGAACCTTAAGGAAAGAAAGAAAAATTATACACCTTACCAGCACTCTTTTTTGAAATTATAAGGATATGAGCCAGAGATCACTAGTTAGAAGCTTTCATCAATAATGCAATAGCATGATCAGGATTCAGGAGGTACAACAATCACATTAAGAGAGACAAAAAGGAAAAGAACAAGAAACATAAAAAATAAAATAAAGATATAGCTTAAAGAGCTAAGTCAGCTAACATCCAGAAGTAAATTTTACACCATTGAGTAATTAGCAGACATGCCACAAAAACCAACAAGAGAAACCAATAAGGAAGACACCAAAATAGAGATAATATGTTTAACAATACAAGAGGGGGGCTGTATAATCAATACCTGAAGGGCCATAACACCAGTAGTAAACTGAGTCATCGGGTGAGCAGTTATTGGAAGGGCATCAATTGTTTTGTACACATGGTCTGCAATTACAACAGTTTGATAAATTTTCACATTTAATACAAAAGATATATCTTTAGCTATACAGATATGAATAAGATTGAACACATTAGTAGAACAAGAAAGCTTTTCTTAAAAGTCTCTCTATTTCTTTTCAGTTGCAACCAAGTGTAATAGAACGATTTTGAAGGATGAAGAGAGAGAAGGAAAGGGTTCCCATGTGGCCATATGTAAATGTGATGTAAGGAAAAGTAATAACTTTCCAGGTCCAAAGTTACCTTTTATAGATTGGTTGCAAGTCTTGCAACTAATATGAAATTTCCCAGGGAGAGAGAAGCGATGCAACAAAAAAGAAATGAATGAAGCATTGATAACACATCCAATGGATAAGGAAGGCAAAGGATAGGAAAGAGTTACAAATAATTGGCCACCAGTCCACTGTAGTTTTGAAAATGTAAAATCAGGAAGAAAAAAACTAAACACAAATGCAGATTAGGGGTAAAAAATATTGCTTAATACGCAAAAAATAGTGTACATGCATAGAGATATAGCACAATATACCTACAAATTAGACACCAATACTGCAAAAGGATAGATTGACCCAAACAATTTATCATTAGTGAAAAAGTGAACCTGGGATCGAAGCACGTTCCCGCAATTCTGCTGATAAAGCATCTACTTGCTCTTTGCTTGGAACCTAAATTAATGAAAAGCAAGATACAGAATATGAAATTTCAAAAAATTAGTAAAAATAAGAATATATTTCATATGAAGAGCTAACAAGATGTAGATAGCCAAGCTCAGCGATCAGCCCCAATCATTCGGCTAGCTTCGTAGACTAACACTTTACCCACTTCTGATATAACAAGCAATTTTCATACATAATAACATGAATTCCAAGGTATTAACATATTAATTTCTTTCTACAAAATAGTTCTCACACCAATCATGAAGAACAATTTAGGGAAGTCTCTTCATCCCTATCTATATCTTTAAGGTAACCAATTGGAAACAAACATCTAAACTTTTCAACAGATCATTTTCAAAGCGCAATATATTGAAAATGATAGCTAAAAACACCCAGACATGGACATAATAACTTGAAATTAGCCTTCTCTCACATTCAAACAGGAATCTTATGATCAAATTATATTCTTAATATCTCAGTCTACTACGTTCAGACAAATGGCAAAAGAGCAACTTTCTTTAAAGAGTGAGACAAACTATACGGCAAAGCAGAAGACCAAGCTTATACAGTATACTAGGAGATCTTCAGGTTCAATTATGCAAGGTATAGTAACAACCAGAGAAAAGCATAATATTTCGAAAAATGGATTATTAAAGAAACAAAGGCTAAGGATATTAAGAAGCCTGCAGACTGTATGTATAAGATGAATTTATACCTTTCCAGTTAAAAGAAGCCAAAGAAGACTTTCAGGCAATGGCTCTCCACCAGGACTTGCAGCAGGTAATAGTTTCTGACACTCGGGTATAGAATAACCCCTAAATCGAATTCCCTAAAAAGGTATCATAATCAATGAAACAAATTAACATTACATCATAATCAAGTGAAGGGAAACATTTGGAAAGAAATGAAAATTTCTATACCTCTTCTGGGTCAAGTAAGGAAGTTTCCCAAAGTAAACCAGTCATTCCTCTCATTCCTCCCAATACCTATTACATTGGCGTTATATACTTATATGAGAAAGAGACAATTAAAATATGGTAAAATGCATAGGCCAAAGAAACATAAATTCAAGTATTGTAGCTATGAATTATGACGACAACATGATTGTTTTTAATACTACGACAATCCAATGTAGCTAACCATAAGTATCCTAACACCTCAAATGGATACAAATACATGGCATGATCCTTGATAGCTTAGAAGAGATGTAGCAAAGCTTGATAAATTCACATTGTTGTCCTAAGTTCTAATGAGTCAGAAATTTCTCAAAGTCTGAGTAATGTATGATAACAAAATAAGAGTATATAACTATTGATTATAGATAAGCTAGTACCATGTCGACAGTAATGTTCCCAAGCTGCACACTTCCATTTTCTTTCTTTATCTTCTTCAACCGTTCCTATAGAAAAAGAAAATGGGATTAAGAACAAAACCACAGTAAGAACTTCATGAATGTAAACTACATTATTGCAAAATTTTAAAATTATCAAATTTGAAGTCAAAAAAACCTGTTGTTCAGGAATCAATTCTTGTAACTCGGAACGAAGGTCCTGCTCATCACATGAAAATCATTGCAATAAGACACAATAAGCTTACCAATTTAACACAAAAAACAATTTTTAAAAATGCAACATTTTAAACTTGATGATTGAACAATCATGTCAATCTTATCGCCCTTTTATAAGCTTAAATTTAAAACAAACACCTGCATTCTTCTCTAGTTTACACCACAATATGGTCACTTCTCACTTTACACTTACACTTGACATTGACAACATTCAGGTACAATAATACCTCTATACAATGCATAACCAAAATAAATTTACAGAGGTTAATTTATGTACAGATGCATTTTCACTCAATTTTACAAATTGCAAATTAATAAATCAATGGCGTAAACAAGGAGATAGAATTTACAAGGCTAGATGAACTTTGCATCTGAATCCATCTCACAGAACCACTTAGACTTGATTGTTGGCCCTGCAAGTAAAAATTCATTCATAACATTATCAAGGCTACAACAATTTTTAAAAAACATGACTCAAAACCATATATTTGTAAATTTAAATCACAGAACAATCATTTTCATAGGAATAAAAGCAAATTACAGCAATATCTAATTATAATTACCAAATGAATCAAAGGATATTGATATATGCACGTATTCAAATGCAACCCCAAAAGCTAACTAAAAACATTAATTGCACCAATTGACGCCGTAATTTTATCATAATCCCATTCCTATATTGATATCGAATTACGCTTATAGTTAGCTCGGGTTGCATATATACATCAAAACTGATAAATCAATCAAGTGTAATATTAGAAGTAAACATAATAAAATTCAACATTTTTTAACAAAGATCGAGAAGCTTACAACTCGAGAACGTAGCTTCGAGAGAGTTGAAATGCCTCGGAAAAACGACATGATCAGCCTAAAATTGCAAATTAAGAGCAAAATAATCCAAAATTAGGAAAAATTAATGCAATTACAGGAAGATTAAATCTGCAACAGTTGAAGAAATTGAAAATCTGGAAAAGTTTGTATGAATCAAATTCAAAAGTAAGAAAAAATGGAAGAGAGAGGAAATCACCTTCGTTGGAACAACGCAGAGAAAATGAGGAGATTCGAAGGAGTCTAGAATGAATGAATAACTCGATGAGGAACGAGTTAGACGGTAAAACGTGTTGGTGTTGGTGGCTTAATTGAATAGTGTTGGGCTAAACAGCTTATTGTGCTCGGAACAGTCAAGTCAATTTTGCATTGCCGAGGCCTTTTGCCAAGTTTTGAGTTGTGCATTATTTTAGGTGTAGAGAGAGCCGAAAGGCCAAATAATATGAATGATATTCAAATTCAATCCTAAATCTTGAATATCGTCACCAAAGTTTTGTTCTTCTATTATTTCAATATTGTTGGTTAAACTGATTATACAGAGGTGTTTGTTATGTGAGAATGGGAGTTTGAGAATTAGAAAATGGATTTGGATTGAGAATTTTCCATTGAACTTTATTTGTTAACTTTTCTGGCTTGCAATTGTATTCATTTAGGGAAAAAACTTGCGTGGACCTGCTCCACAATAATATTATTGTGAATCTGAGGTTTATACGCAACTGAAGTTAGATGGAACATAGTGACCCTAATATTAACATAGTAACCTTATTTTTAACATAATAACCTTTATTAAAACTTGTGTAACTTTTAATATTATTGTCATATTGTAAACCTGAAGTACGACGATATGATAAACATAGTGACCCTAATTTTAACATGGTAACATTTATTATTCATATTGACCTGTATATAAAAAATTTCATTAAAACAAATAAAATAACCTCCTATAGTCTTTATAATGCCATAATGATTTTATTTCAACATAATAATCTTTACTTTATTATAGTGACTTTTTTTTATTAATAAAATAACCATAGTGTTTCTAATATTAATGGTCCACAATAAATTAGTGTGAACCTGGTCCATTTAAGAGTTTAAATTTCAATTCAATAAAAATAAGTTCAGTTAGTAAAAATCAGTAAGTTCAAAGAAGAAATATAATATCTGTCAGGAAAATATATATATATATATATATATAATAGAAAATCAGTAAAAATAATTTCAGTTCAATAAAATTAATTTTACTTCGTTAAATTAATTTTAGTTCAGTAAAAATAATTTAACATCAGCAAAAATAAGGTGAAGTAAACAGGGCTTTGGTATACAATGCTATACATAGACTCTTAGGACTACATACAAGGAGCTACTAAAAAAAACACATTAATTAACCTGATTTGCACGTAATTTTGTCGTGCATTCTTAAATTAATATCAAATTAAGTAGATATCAAATGTTTATCTTTAGCTCCAAGGGCTACATATAACATTACCCTTAACATAATTTGAAGATGTTTAAGTTGTAAATTAAACTTGAAAATCCCTTTATAAACTTTATTTAGACCTATTACTTTTATATCCAAATTAAAATTATTTGGTTGAGCTAGGGGTGTTTTTTATATCTGAAATTCATGGCAGTGCACCTATGGAAATTGGGAAACTTTTTTTTTTTTTTTTAATTTTTTTATCACGTTAATATATCTTATATAATTTTAATAAAATTAGTGTTAATTCAATCATTGTCTAATTTGTAGGGACTAGTGATGTAAAACATAAAAGTGAACAATATACTTTTTCCGTTCCCTTTTTTTTTTTTTTTTTTTTTTTTTGACACAAGCACTCCTCCGTTCCCTTAATATTGCAACAATTACTACTTTAGGATGTTTCACAAATATTGCAACATATTCTTTTTTTTTTTTTTTGAACGAATTAATAATATCATTAAATAATAGCCATACGGCATCTACAATAATAAAGATCTGTAAACCACAAATTTAGAAGAAAATACCATAACTTTTACAATCAAAATCATAACTAATTTGCATATTTGACATAGCTCATACTCTACCGCTTCAAGCTTGACGCGAGCAATGATTTTCAATATCTTTGCATCTTTTCAAGTAGAGACCTTCGCAATCTGCACTGACATTTTGATTGAAAAGTTGATGACAAACCCCAAACCCATAAGAAACCAAATCACCTTAGCTTCCCAATTATTATAAGAACCTTAAAAATTAAACAAAATTCTCATCCATGGATGATCAGAATCAAAATCCCAAAAAATTGAGACAAACTCTCAGATGGAGAGAACAAAACAAACCAAAACGTAAAACAAAGCAAAAAAAAAAAACTAAATTGAATTAAAGATAAAGGGTCGGAAGTCTAATTTTTGGCCTAAACGACGAAGAAAACTAAAACCCTAGAAGAGAGAGGAGAGAAAATGAAAAGTGCAACATTTTCTTTTTTGCATATGTTTTCTCTCTATATCATGGCTGAGAACACAAAGGAAAGAAGCCTAGGTTCCAACCTTAAACCAATTGGCAATATAATAGATTAATAGAGGAGTAGTCTGCTTGGATTATAAACTGAAAGCCCTTTGCTTTCTTTTTCAGTGTGGGACAAACACTACTTACACTTGTATCTAACAATATATATATATATATATATATATATATATATATATATATATATATATATATATATATATAATTGTCAATTTCATGCAATAAACGATTAAAATTTCATCATTGGACGCAAATTTACCTCATTGGATGTAATTTACCTCAGATCATGTCCTAGCTTGCGTTCAATATGAATTCCAGGGCTTTCAGTTGAAATTGGAAAAGGGATACATGCTTTGAGCTTAATGTGAGATGATGACATCAATTAGGTATAAGAAAACAAAAAGGCATTATTATAAATTTATAAATTATACTTGTATATTGTTTTTAAAAAATAAATAAAATAAATAAAACAAATAAATAAAAATTATACTTGTATATACTTAGTAATTGACATTTTATTAAACCAAAATATATTCAAAGATTGAAAAAGTCAAAGAACAGGTTGAAAAATTAACAAGAGTTATTTGGTGCTTTTAGATACGGACTTGTCATAAACAAGTAATCTAAAAGTCAATCAACAATTCAACATACACTACGCTCTCATATTCTCCTTTCATGAGGGGTGGCAGAACCATAAATTTATCATTCAAAGGGCCAAGACACAAATATGTTATTCTTTCTGAATTAATGTATACAATTATACGTATTATTACAATTAATAAAAACAAGGACAAAACAAAAAGAAAGAATGAACCCTTGAGCACATAATTAATTCAGTTTTATTTAAAAAAAAAAGGCTAATTCCCAAAAATTATGAATAAGAATACCAAGTAAGTTATACACAGTTAACGTAACTACGGATTATTGCTCAAAATTAATTTTTAACATAAATCATTAGGTCGGAGTGGCACTGATACATCCCCCTCTGCTCCCGCCCTTGAGCACATATGGGAGAATATGAGATACGGAGTAGTATAAAATTAAGTATGATGGAGATATTTGTATATTTATCTACTAATTAATACATAGTATATTTTATCCACTTTCATTAAATAAAAATATTGTAAAAATATTGAGCACACAATAAGTTTTGTGTAAGGTGGGTGTACATTAATTTTATTGTAAGACGAACATCAGTTTGAGGGTAACTTTAACTATTTTTATGGTAACTTTTAATCGTTAAACGGTAACTTTTAATTTGTCCTCAGTTTGAATTTTATTAGATAATATGATTAATCTAATACATTATAATAAGTTTTTTGGTAATATAAAATTTATTATTAGAAAAATAATAAAGGATAACTTTTGTTATTAATTTAATAATAATAACTTTTGTAGTATAAAGGATAACTTTAAATACTTTTAAAATAACTTTAACCCATCGTACAATAAATTAACTTACACCCGCTTTTTAGAGAAACAAATTCATACAATGCATTTAATTGATGATAAACTTTCACATTCGAGAAAAAAGTACACTTACAATTAGAAAAAAAAGTTTTTGGTTGATTATTATACGTTTAAAAACTTTAAGAAATATTAACAACTCTTAAACATCAAATATTTACATTCATGCAACTCAAAAAAAATAAGGGCAGTATAACCCAAAAAATCAACAAAAACTATCGTTCATACTCCGTAATAAATTTCTTAATGCCTTAACATTATCCAAAAATTAAACATAATTGTTTTTTCCTAATTAAAAAAAATAGCCGTTGACTTTTGAAACCTCATCCTCGCCTAGCCGCATTACGTAAACATTAACAAAAAAAACTACCTGGGCCGGGATCTAATATTCCGTACGACCGGACCGCGGAGTTCTCCTTAATGCAGCACAACACCCACAACCTTTAACCCGAGGCGAACCTGGTTCATCAATCTCATCCTGGTTCGACCGTGCGGTCTTTATTGGCTTAATATTAATCGTAGGATTATTAACGTTTACATCATCGTAAAAACGTGATCGTTGTCGTTGATGACCGTGTTGCGGTTTGTTTGGTTGATTGAATTCTTGGGAATAAAACCGGGGTTTAGTCGACTTAGACCGGTCCTTAGGCTGAGTTATTTCACCTGTTAAAAATAAGTCGTCCCAAACAAGGCCAGAAGAGCCTTGACGCCTGAATGAAATTGCTGATCTTTTTAATCCTCCTGCACTTACTTGCGCCATTAAGTTTGATTTTCTCTCACTCTTTTTTTTTTCCTTATCTTGTATGGATAATGAATTGTTGTTTCAGTTTTTTTGGTTGGCGAACTATTTTGAGAGAGGGTGAACTTTTAACACTATTTATTAATAGACTATGGAGGGTTTGAAGGAATAAAATAAGGGGTTGTTTAATAGGAGTACTAAGTAGTATAGGATTCGGAGATTTGATTTCTTGAGTGTTTCTAAATATAGGTGTCGTGGATAAAGTTTAAGATTTAAAAAGATAAATTTTGTGGAGGAAATCCCTTCAAAAAAAAAGAAAAAATAAAATAAAATAAAATTTGTGGAGTAAATTTAAGATTCAAGTCAAGAGATACTTGTTATGGATAATACTAAGTCTTTGCTTTGGATATAATTAAGGTTTAAAATTATCCGATGATTAAAAATTAAAAAAATAATAATATTATGGCTCACAAGATCTATAGTTTTATTTTTTTAATGGAAGATCGATAGGTTGAACAAGTCATAGTTTGTTATAACTTATATGTAATGTAGGATCACAAACTTTGATTATTGTATAAAACCATTGTTGATTATTTAATTAATTAAGCTTTAATTATTTGAATGTTCAAGGAAATTAAAATTTGGTAGATAGCACAAAAATTAAACTACCATTATATACCATGTACTTCATTTTCGTTTGACACGCATTATCATAGAATCATCGCCATACATCGTCATAATCATAAATTCATTAATACAAAGTTTTTTTTTTTTTTTTTTTTTTTTTTTTTTTTTTTTTTTTTTTTTTTTTGACAAATAATACAAAGTTATTTAGAAAAGAAAGGTCAACTCACAATGATCCATTAATTATTTACAACCAATGTTCGTCACAACTATGAGAGGAATTATTGTCAATGAATTGCCCAAATTTTAAGGTTTGTGATTTGCATGATAGTATTAATCTAACAACTAGCAATGAGACAATTAGCATGAAGCCATGAAGTCCATGAACTTTTTTTTTCTTTTTTTTTTTTTCTTCTAGAGATCAGAACTTTTAATCTACTAGTGCTTATGCACGAGATATATTCAATTTGCAACGAAGATTATCTTTACATGTTAATAAAAGTAGAAATTATAGCAAGTTTTTTTTTTTTTAATTTTTTCAAATTGAAGTGCATGAATTTGGTCCATCGTAGATTTAGAGCATTGCCATTAAAAGTGCTTCCAGTGTACAAATTTGCTTCGTTGAAGTTTTGGATTGTTCCCATTAAAAATGAAAAGTAGTTTATTACGGAGTATATTAATTAGATAATAACTTATTTAAATTTATTAAAAGTAATCTGAGTTTTTTAATTAGGTATTGATTGTTCTTTTTAGTTATAAATCGCACTTAAATATTTGGTATTATAACTAGTATTCTGGTCCGTGCATTGAATGGGTTGCTCATAAGTATATAATAATATAATTTTTTGTTTTATAATATGTTTTAATTTAATGGAAAAATAAATAGTTTATGAAGGAGAAGAAGGGGTGAAAATTGAATAAACTTGAAAGAGATAATGGAAAAAAAGAACTAAACAACATTTATATACGTATTGTATTAAGGCTTAATTATTTTTTTTAATTTTTTTATTAAATGTTAGGAGGGGGATAAAAAGGATAAGGAAAATGAGATGACATGTGGCATTGTTCAACAAGATGATTTGTGTTTTATAATACTAGGAATGGATAGATAGCCTTAATACAAATATGTAAGTAATTATGAAATGTGTCTCCCTAGTTCTTCACGTTTGGTTGTAGTTGTTGATCGACTTGTTAGGGTTTCTTATATATTAAGATCAATTTGGGGCCAAAAATATATGGGGCCTTAAAATTAAATGGGAGGCTTGAATTTTGATTGGGTGAGAGTTAGTTAATTAAAACATGTTGACAACTAAAATTGTTATAAATTGGCCAAGTCAATTGCTTGATGATTTAAAGTTATTATATCCCATTAGACTTTCTGGATCATACATTCATACATGAACAAAAGCTACACCCAATCCATAATTTTTGTCATGGAATGTCTAACTAACTACCTTGAAAATTGAACATTGTACCAATTATGACATAATTTGCTAACTATATTCTGTTGCACTTAAATTGTTGTTAGGCCTCATACAGTAGGCATACTTCATTGAATACTCAAGAGTTTTGTACATAGCCGCCGATAAGTGATAAAGTATAAAATATATTATTGGGCCTCAATCATCAGTTTAATTTTTTGGTTGAGTTGGTCCGTTAACATGGTATCGGAGCCAGCGTGATTTAAAGATCACGGGTTCGAAGCGCGATAGAGTATAAAACATATTGCTGAGTCTCAACCATCAAATTAAGCTTTTGGTTGAGTTGCACGTTAACAATAAGCAACAACAAGACTCAATATTATTATTATAAATTAAAGTCAGCCCCGCATACACTTCGATCTCACCTCAATGATCGGAACCGGGGGGTGCTTGGCGTGGGCCATGGCCTCCCCCTTGGTTTTGATTATGTATTAAAAATTGCAATAATTTATATTAAGGGTGTCATAGTTCAGTTGGTAATAGAATAACTAGATCTATTTTAGAGGTCTTAGGTTTGAAGCTTGCTCCTAACATTTTTTTTAGCTTTTATTTAATATTGCTCCTCATATTTTTTTCCTATATTATATTTGTACACAATAATAGATATATTAAGTTTGCCCCCCCTAATAAAAAAATTCTGACTCCACCCCTGCAGTGATCCATTGTGAAATATACTGTGAATCATTGTGGTATAGACCTGGCAAAACCAACCAATACTTGATTTACATAATGGACTATATTTTAAAACTCATTGCGATGTGGCCTGGTTGAATTGAAGTAGTCCAAGTCTTATGACCATCATCATTAGAGGTTCATACTTTAAGCCTAACCCTAACAACATCACTTCCTTCGTCCCAGAATATCTGGGATATTGAACTTTTCTCACTATTTATAATTTTTTACTAACATAATAAAAACATTTTTTATCCTAAAATTTACTGTTAGATAGGTATTAATATAAAGTTTCATAATATAATTTCTAAAATAATTTTCATTAATATTTAATTATATAAAAATAATGTCAAACAAGTGCATTGACATGCGTGCAAAGTTGACAGTGTCAAATATTCTGGGACAGATGGAGTATTATTGTACTCCATACATGGCTGACTTCCAATGTCGCAATAGTAACTATTGGAGTATGTCCTGCAAACATTTAGCATTAGGAAGATGCTAATATAGGCTAATGGATTGAAAATGCTATAGTATGTTTGATATCACTATAGTTTTTAGTTTTAAAAATTGCGGTATAGGCTCGGTTGAATGAAGTAAGACAAGTCATGTGACCATCCTCATTAGATTACACTATGTTTATCTTCTTCCCCACCTTTTAAAAAGTGTGAGAAAACACTTATAAATAGTGTGAAGACTATTATATCCTTAAAATATTTGTTTACCTATATACCCCTATTGATATGATGTTAATTGCTTATAAGTTTTTCCATGTGTTATTTAATAATTGAACTCTTATGAATAGTGTTAGGACAATCATACCCTATAAAATGTTTATTTACTTATTTGCCCTCATTAATGTTAATTTTTTTTTTAACTTTATAGAATAGTGTATGGACATTTATACCCCTAAAAATATTTGTTTATATATTTTTCCTAATTATGTTGACAACTACTGAAAAAATTCTCCGAACATGGCTAGCTCTGAGGCGCGAATGCACAATCGCGCGCGTTAGCCATCCTAGTAATGCTAAATGTTTGCAATTTATGAAATCACAATGCAATATATATTAGTGAATTTGTTACACACCTCGGAAATAAATTGCAACATTCCTTAAATTTTTTTTAATCAATTGCCACATTCCTTGAATAGAGCAAGGTAGATTTTGATTTTGATTTTTTTTTTTGGAAAAAACCTAAAGAAAATCGATGGTTAATATGATGACACGTGTTAGGCTAATATTGGTGGAAAAGCCCCATATATCGTGAAAGTGCAGAACCACTAACCATCCATGAAGAGGTTGACTTACCAAATATGGGTTGAAAAAAATGGTTGGTCCACTAAAAGTCAGTTACTAAGAAAAGAACCCCAAAAATAACAGAAGAATGCAAAAAACAAACATGAAATCACCTCGAAAATGGGCAAAATCCATTTCTTCTATTTCTTCTAGCCTTTATTTTCTTCTCATCATCTTTCAAGTCCCTCTTTTCAGGTACACATACACTATTTTGTTTACATTTATTCATAATTATAATCAATTTGACACGATATTTGTTGCTACAATAGTCACAATGTTCAAATTTGGTTATAACCTCTGTTTATAGTTAAGAAATTGATCAATGTCCATATTATGCGTTAAGATTGTGAGTTATTTAGCATCAACTAAAGTGGATTATTGTCGTAACACGTTTTCATCTAAAAAGTTAATGGGTAAAGTTGTTGTTTATATAATGTTAATGCGGTGTGGAAATAGAATGAAAATGGTGAAATCATACTTTGTATTAATAAATTCTCCCCCTCCAAAAATAAGGCTAATGAGAAAGTAATTGGAATTCAATTCATATAGTTACCTATCTTAATTAGTTGATGGAAAAAATTTAACAAGTGGTATGCCAATATGAAGACATTTAGGATTCGAAAAATACATATTTGGCTATTAGCAAATCTTGTGTATATTTTACTTGATGAATGTTTTTCTTGACATTGTGTTTTAGCTAGAAAAATGTTGAGTTCAACATTTACAATGGCCAAATCCTAGAATCATAATAAGTTATTATTCTTGCTTATGAATACAGGGTTCCATGTCGAAGTGGAATATGCATAACTCCGGTTCAAGTAACTTCTTCTCAACTAATAGCAAGCGAAGTCTTGCCTGTTTCATTTGTGAAGATCCTTCTTTACCCGGGTGCGATTGTTAATGCTCTTTTCAATGGTATAAGCATCCCTAGCTATGATGATCTGCTGGAAATATATAATTTTACTCATGTGAAAGAGGCTTCTGCAATCATTGATCTTAGGCATCTTGAGGTTTGTTACTACTAATTACGGAGTACTATTTAAACTTGTACTATTGCATCTCCTAATATGATCATGTGACTTAGATTTTGTTCTTTTCACCTTCGATAAGTAAATTCAATCTTAATCTTCGCGTAAGTGCTGCTGCTGTTTTCATTATTGCTGTATTCCTATGACAGTATAACAGATAATAACTCTGACATTTTTCTGAGGACTGTCATTCAGATTCTAGCAGGGAGCTACTTCTGTGTGGTTGGGGGAATACTCGGTCTGCTGAAGAATGGCAGATTAAGCTTATTTGGAAGTTTGCTGCTTATATGGGGCTTGTTTAAGGAAATCATGAGGCAGAAATCTACTTGTTTAGACACTTGTCAGACAGTCCAAGTTTCTCCGATCATGTTAGTGGCTCTCTTTACGGCGTTATCATCTATTAAAAGCGATGTGAGAGCTGTCGTAAAAAGCTTTCAAGCTCACCAATCAGCAACAGCAGCAGTTGATGTAGATGAGCATATAAAGAAAAGGAAGAAGGATAGGGAGATGAAGAGGCTTGAATGGAATGTAAACTATGTTAACAGTGCTACAACTCCTAGGTCTACAAAAGTTGCACAGGAAGGAATTAAAAATACTTTTTACTGAATTTTCCTCTGCTTTTTTGTACAAGTATGATTTTAGTGTTAGTATTTTTTATCTCATGGATTTTCTAGATTTTGGGGTTTTTCCCGGTTAATTTCTAGGTTTCTTTTCTATTTGGAAGGGCGAAGATTGTTACAAATCCAAATCCTCTCACATTTCCGTGTGATGGCATATATTTTAGCAGTGAAACACAATATCAGTTTACAATTTTTTCACTGAAAATTTTGAGTTTGGGTCGGCCTTCATATCAGCTATTTCCAATGGGGTACTGGCTTCATTTCTTTACACTAGTGATTTGTGAGTCAAAATTTTGCACTTTCTTTTAGTATCAAAACACACATCAACCTGTTGAGTTTTTGTTTCTGTTTAATTAGCAAAATCTATGATGACCGAGCATTGGTTTGAAAAATAGAGGGAGATATTACTCATATTAGCTAGGGAAGTATTTTGTTTTCCTTGAAGGATTATCGGTTCAATAGACTACTCCTAATCTAAGGATGTCTTGTCTTGTGCTTTGATGGTTCATTTGATAGACGATTATAATAATGATAACAATTTTATTCTCCATATTGATAGTTTTTAGCAAGTGAGTAATCTGTAACCACTCAACATGTTGCATGAAGACATTCCCTTGCTTAAGTGACTAGAGAAAACTAGAGACGATCCATCTCCATGATGACCATGAGTAACCTTGTCAAAAATAAACTTTCTCTACTCGAAGGATAAATTACCCACTTATAGTGATTGTATCCATTCAAATACATAGTGATAGCGAGTGAATATGACATTGAGTTTAGCTAGCTAGTAAAGACATTTCTCGAGATGTATTATCAATTGTGTTGGGTCACAAGTCATATCTAAGCTATTTTTTTTTTTATAGATATAAGTATGAGAACTTGGCCTAGGCACAAGCACAAACCGACATACAACTACGATGGGCCATATTATGTCTAGGTTAGCCATTCAAAACTGCAATATGATCCGTAATTAGCGAGTCGGGCTTACAGATAGTAGCGAAACCTAAGCACGCAACTACAAGCCGAGACATGACCTAAACTAGATATCTTCATCTCTCTCATTCTTCTTATTTTGATGTTACATTGCCTTAACAAATCACAATCGTTCACCAAAAAAAAAAAACAAATCACAATGACATTAGTCACGTTACCATCAAAGGCATCAATCATTCATTGTCCAACTGGCCTTATCAAAATTTGCTCAAGTTGGAACAAATATGATATGATCATCCATTATTTTGTAAATCTTGTTACCATATATAGCCAAAAATCACGTTGATTAATTATTAATTACACATTTAAAACTCAAATCTGATTTGTGCTCTTAGTATTGGACCATCCCATGACTAGAATGTTTGGTGTGAATTTAATGGCATTATCACAGGTTTTCTCTCTCTTAATTTCTCTTCAATCTGCCCATCATCATCCCACCTTTTGTTGTCCTATGTTTCCAATTTCCTTTTAGATTTATTATGTTGAAAATGAAAGGTGGGAATTTTAGCTTCATGTTCTCAAAAATCATGACAAAAACATTACAGAGAGCCACAATTTTTTTCTGGTTTTGAAATTTCGATCAATTTACTGTCATTTTTTTCTGGGCACTTTTTCATAACTAGGGAAAGGCCTCAAATTTTTTAAAATTTAATTGGATTTTCTCAATTTGCTTAATCGCTGAGTGTTTGTACTAGTTTTGGGATCAATTATTACAAGATTAGAATTTGGGTAGGGTTCAAATTCAAACATTTGAATTGGATTTTTCCCAATTTGCAGATTGCTTGTACTAGCTTTGTGATCAAATTACAGTGTTGTCAACAAGATTAGAACTTTGGAGCAAATTTCAGATTTCTGAAGTGGGTTTTGTTCATGTAGCAGATTTCTGAGTGATTTACAGGTAAAATCAAATAGTTTCTGAAGTGGGTTTTGCTTGGATAATGTAGAAATGTCTTTTATTATGTATTTACATTCATGAAGCTTTGATTGTGAAGCAATGATTTTGGTAGTAATTTGAGGCACACCTAGAAGTAGGTGTTTGATGCCTTGGTGTTAGAATTCGAGCAATCGAACCGCGACACTTGGGTATTGATTAAGGTTATTGGTTTATAGATGCAAGCAATTGATTGATGAATGGTATATAAGAGATGTTTGATGGAATTATGACAATGTCTTTTCATACATTGAACTATCCAATACATTTTTTAGGGAGGACATATAAACATGGCACTTTAAAAAGCTCAAGAGTAATTCCTGCTTTAGCTACTCCCCCTTCTTCAATACTTGTGCACACTGGTGAAAGTGACAACTCTTTGAAATGTGGGGGAAATTATGTTCCAAACATGTCTTTATCAAAGAAAGATTTTAGTACTAGTTCCATACTTAACCAAGGAAATGCAATTGGTGTGATAGGAGGAGTATCTCTTGATTCTACATTAAATTTCGTGAATAAGTTTGCGCGTTGGGGATCGAATGAGGGGAAAGATTGTCCTCCCTTCATTCTTTGTTCTGATCCGCAGCTGATGGAGGAGCTGTTGATCTATGAGAGAAGTTCTTTTCCTTCGTTGTATGCTCAAGTGAGGCCCTCTAATTTGGATCATACTCCGATTGTAGAGAACTTGAAGCGCAAAAGGGCGTTTCTGGAGCAAGGGGGTGCCCAGTGCCTTGTGATGCCTTGTCATTTGTTGCATTCATGGCATGCTGATGTTTCTAATGGATGCAGTGTGACGATTCTTCATATGGCTGAGTGTGTGGCTAAGGAACTTAAGGAAGCCAAGTTAAGGCCTCTTGAAACTGGATGTCCCTTGAGGATTGGTGTGGTTGGTAGTGATGCTGTACTGAAATCAGGGTTCTATCAGGAAAAGCTACAGAATGAGGTATTGGTTTCGATGCTTTGCTCCTTTTACTGTGCACTTCATACATTCTGGATTGAGAATATTGATTAGGAAAGCTTATTTAATGTTGGAATGTGCCATCATCAATTAGGTGGAACTTGCATATTGTTTTGAGTTAAAGACTTAGAATTTGCATTGCTTTAGGATTTTAGGCGCTGATCATGCAAGCTGACACATCATGATATTTTCTGTGAATGAAACATGAACTCAAAGTGCTGAAGTATTTTGATCTTGTGAAGTAACTAAACTCTTGGATGAAACTTGTAGTTATTTAAGTATGAATCGGGACTTATCTTTTTAGTTCAAAAGTTTCATTAATGTTGCTGGAGTTTACATACATTATTGTTGAACCTTGTAAAATGTTGAGCACTAGTCTTTCAAGGTTCTTATTCACATTAATGTGTAGACAATAATCACAATATGTAATGTCCAAAAGTAGAAGTACATATACAAAGAAAACCTGTTTTCAACTCCTTGAATCCTCATCCCACCCTACCTCCCCAAATATAAAATAAGAAGAAAAAAGGTCTTTTGTCCTTCCTCTGCTTTCTTCTTGGAGTCTATAACTCTATAATGATGAAATGTGCTGGCAGTATGATTGGGATATAAGTTTTGGGTTTTGCTGAAATGTACTTAAGTAAACTGTTAAAGAAATGATACATGTGAGTATCTCATGAGTCTTTAAGACTCGTATAAAATAACACATCTCTTCTTGTTCCAGTGCCTTTGCGTTACCACTCCTTAGCCCTTCCTGTTGAACTTCCCATAACATTTGGCATGTTTAAAAGGTTTGTTCTATGCTGATCAATTCAGATAGGGAAAGTTTTGCTTTAGTTATAAGCAGCACTTTGAATTTGAGCAATCTTGTTGTGATTTTCTTTACATTCATTAGGGTTATGAGTAGAGTTTTCTGTTCTATATTGAGTATTGAATTTGCTCTCCTACAACAGTTGAATTAAGCATAGGCTTTTCTGTTGTTAGATGTCTGATGAGTTGCTGCAATTTTCTTGGGCATCAAGTTCTAAGATGCACAACGAAACTCTTTTTTTTTAACCCTGGTTTGCCTGCATTCTGGGGCATCTGTTGAAGTACAATTTGTGTGTATGGTTTACATATGATTTGGTTTTGTAGCTTTGCATTATGAATGTGTGACACTTGATCTCTCTTTTTTAAACCCCTGCTCTTATGAGTGATCAGGGTTAATATAACACCGCCATAATATACCAATAATTCGTGTTCCTTCTGAATTCCTTGGTAGGGATTTGAGGTCGTGCTTCCAGATAAAGCAACCATGGAACACACCGTGCGTCCTGCCATTGAAGCTTTGGACAGGAAAGACATTGAAGGGGCTCGGAACTTGTTAAGAATTGCGCTTCAAGTTCTGTTAGTGAGGGCTGTAAACAAGGTCATCATTGCATCTCATGAAATGCATGAGCTTTTACCCCATGATGACCCTCTGCTTAAGAAATGTATTGATCCAATTGATGCTTTGGTGAGGTCAACTATCAAATGGTCTCAATCTGTGGAAAGAAGTTCTTAGTGAGCAGATCTTATATTTTCATTTAGCAGTATGAATCTGAATTATCATTATGTAAATGCCTCCTCTTATAGCCATTTATTGATGCAGGACTTTGTCAGTTTACAGATTTTATTGAAATTGTATTGATTCAGGCATAGTAGCGAAGGACGATTGTAAGGGCAGACTTAATGGCAAAGTTCTTCAAATGTTTGATATTCCACCCTCTGCAAGTGAAATTCAGTCCATTCCTCAGTTTTTTTTTGGTTCATATTCTCTTATCCAACCATTTCATTGAATGAATGAATTCGTCAAAATCTGATTGTAGATGAACCTAGGCACAGGGGCTGAAATGTCCTAAAGAAAAATGTATTGCGACCTAACTGTTGGGAAATTAGCACGTCTTGGCAATGACAACAGATAGAAACAGGAATACTACCAGAATTTCCCTCTCAATGAAAAAGATCAATCTATGGCATGTACAGTTTATGTATTTCTATGTCTAATACAGTTGCAGAACAAATATCTACACCATCCAAGTGGTATATTGCCAACAAAAACTTGAATGGATTCTAATACGTACACTTCAAGACCTTGGTTCTGCACTTCTGTAACGGTATTTCTAAACTCCCCTAATATACTGTTTCCAAGCTCCGCCTCAAGTACCAAACCCAAATCTAGAGGTACCCCAACATAAAACCAAATCTAATACTCATTTTTTACGCCCACTAGCCAAACCAGGCACCGGGGATTCCTCATCAATCCAATCAGCATATGCCAACAATTTTCTTGGGCCTTTTCCATTTGAATGAGCTCACTCGTGGTGGTGGCAGTTTGTGCTTGGAAGCAGTTGGTTTGAGCGGTTTCTGAGCCTCACTAGGAAAGGCATCCTTGACCAAGGTCTTAGGAGCAGTCTGTGCATTTTCAGATTCTGATGCAAGTACAGGTGCGGATCTTCTTGAATCTGAAACGAAACACGGGAGATATGGTAAGTAGAAAGCCTATTTTTCTTGTATGTGAATAAGTCAAGCATAAACACATCACACATGTATATCCACATAAATACATTAAAACAAAGCTTAAGATTAAAAATAGGTTACAATTAATACAAAAGGCTTCAGACAATGCCCGTGTCAAACAATTTTCAAAGCTGGTGATTAATGCACTGAAACCAGCCTAATATAATATACACATTTGAAACTGAGTCAAACTTTCTGTTTCAAATTTCATGCTTGAAATACTGAAACAAGATTTGTTTTATGAACTTGAAGCAGCAATTTTTTATAGATACATGGTGTTACAGCTACCATCCAAATCATAATGCAATTCATAGCAACAAAGTGAACAAACTGACGATGAATGGTAGCACATAGCTGTGACTAGAAAGCATAGATTGGTCCATAGTCGCCTAAATTTTCAAGGATTGTAGTTGCAATGAATGTGACACACATATTTCAGTTCTCATACATGTCAAAATTTTAGAAACAATAATGCAGTAAGCTACCGTATTGAAGTTTCACATATCTTAGCATAGTAATTTAACAAAGAACTCCAGTCGCAAACTACAGAACACATATACTACATAATTTGCTGAAGGAAAACAGCCAACACAGCCTATTACCTTCTTGTCCAAGAGCATAAATGCCTGTGGAACCATAAGTATTGATGTCAACAATCACTAAGTTTGTACATTGCCTTCTGTTGCTTCTTGAATCAACATCCACTGGCTGAATGTTATTAGCAGAGTTCTCTGTATACAAGTCCTCCCTCCTCTCTGCGTAATAATCTGATTCTCTATGCGAAAAAATACATCGTTCACCATAAGGGCATGTAGGTTGTACCTGCAACTATTCTGACTTTCCTCAGGTAAATGAATAAATTTGCATCTGTCCCCAAAATGGCATCTTCTAGTAAAGTTCCTGCATGGAGTAGTCTTGTACTTGGAATTAACAGTAATAGAGCCTCTATTAGCAGAAAACCGCGCTTCTGAGGGTCTTTCGACTATACTGTAGTTCGTCATAGGAGATTGGTAATCAGTTCCTGATTGAGAAAAAAAACCAGCAACAGAAGGCAGTCTTGTAACTCGCCTGCAGACTAAGTCAGGATCTATCACATATGCACCTGCAAGGCTGCAACAACATTTTATTTCTTTCAATTAATCAAACAGAAAAACAAATTCAATCAGAGTTTAAATTAGCATTTCACAAAATCAAGAACACCCATTGGATTTCTTTTAACAACTCTACACCTTGACAGAATGACAGGAGAAATATAGAACAACTTGAATTCAATTCCCATAATAAGCAGAAATTGGTGAAAAATACATGATCCAAGAAAATTCAGACCCACCCATCTTTCTTGGGGTTAATTAACTCCTAATCTTTCCCAAAACTATCAAATAATTAACACAGACATTAACATATAAGCCGTTTTTCATGATTATAATTGCGACCCACAATCACATATTAACTTAGATTAAACAAAAATCAACACCCCTAAAACCCCTTCATCAAGCTTCTTCCATTTTATCAATTTTCAATCCTTAACACATTATATGAAGCTTCTTCCATTTTATCAATTATAGGTCGGTTGAGTTCCAGTGCCTTTGCGTTACCACTCCTTAGCCCTTCCTGATGAACTTCCCATAACATTTGGCATGATTTAAAGGTTTGTTCTATGCTGATCATTTCAGATAGAGAAGTTTTTTCTTTAGTTATAAGCAGCACTATGAATCTGAGCAATCTTGTTGTGATTTTCTTTATATTCATTAGGGTTATGAGTAGAGTTTTCTGTTTTATATTAAGTGTTAAATTTGTTAGGGATTTGAGGTCGTGCTTCCAGATAAAGCAACCATGGAACACACCGTGCGTCCTGCCATTGAAGCTTTGGATATGGAAAGACATTGAAGGGGCTCGGAACTTGTTAAGAATTGCGCTTCAAGTTCTGTTGGTGAGGCCCGTAAACATGGTCATGATTGCATCTCATGACATGCATGAGCTTTTACCCCCGAGGGAGCCCCAGTTTCTCGTTATGAGAAACACTTTTGTTTCTCATAATGTCATTTTGGAAAATAATGTGATATTTTTCACTGGTGGGACCGCGTATGTGTCATGAGTGGGAGCCCCAAATCTTGACACATATCCCATGAGAAATAAAACTTGTTTCTCACAATGAGAAACAGAGAATTACCCTTTACCCCCTGATGACCCTCTTCTTAAGAAATGTATTGATCCAATTGATGCTTTGGTGAGGTCAACTATCAAATGGTCTCAATCTGTGGAAAGAGGTTCATAATGACAAATCTTATATTTCATAAGCTGTATGAATTCGAATTATCATTATGTAAATTCCTCCTCTTATAGCCATTTATTGACGCAGGACTTGGTCAGTTTACAGATTTTATTGAAACTGTATTAATTTCAGGCGAACAACGATTGTAAGGGCAGACTTGTTGGCAAAGTTCTGCAATTGTGTGATATTCCACCATCTGCAAGTGAAATTCAGTCCATTCATCATATTTTTTATTTGTTCATGTTCTCGTATACAACCAGTCCCTTGAGTGAATGAATTAATCAAAATCTGATTGTAGACAAAGTCCATTTGTGTAACTAGGCACAAAACGTCATAAAGAAAATCGTATTGCAACCTAACTGTTGGGAAATTAGCAAGACTTGACAATGACAACAGATAGAAACAGGAATACCATCAGAATTTCCCTCTCAATGAAACGATCTATCTATAGCATGTGTGATTTATGTACTTCTATGTCTAATAAAGTTGCAGAACAATATCTACACCATCCAAGTGGTATCTTGCTAACAAAAACTTGAATGGATTCTAATACATACACTTCAAGACCTTGTTTCTGCACTTCTGTAATGGTATATCTGAACTCCCTTTATATACTGTTGCCAAGTTCCACCACCAGTACCAAACCCAAATCTAGAGGCACCCCGACATCAAACCAAATCTAATACTTATTGTTGACGCCCACTAGCTGAACCAGGCACCGAGGGTTCCTCATCAATCCAATCCGCATAGATGCCAACAATTTTCTTGGGCCTTTTCCATTTCAATGAGCTCGCTCGTCGTGGTGGCAGTTTGTGCTTGGAAGCAGTTGGTTTGAGCGGATTCTGAACCTCAGCGTTGACCAAGGTCTTAGGACCAGTTTGTGCATTTCCAGATTCTGATGCAAGTACAGGTGCAGAACTACTTGAACCTGAAACAAAACACGAGAAATATGGACATATGGTAAGAAGAAAGCCTATTATTCTTACATAAGTCTAATAAGCATAACCACAAGTATATCCACATATATACATTAAAACAAAGCTAAAAATTAAAGTTTGGTTACAACTAGTACAAAAGGCTAAACACAATGCCTGTTTCAAACAATTTTCAAAGCTGGTGATGAATGCACTGAAACCAGCCTAATATAAATATAGACAATTTGAAATTGAGTCAAACTTTCTGTTTCGAATTGCATGCATGAAATACTGACAAGATTTGGTTTATGAACTTGAAGCAACAATTTTTATAGATACATGGTGTCACAGCTACCATCCATACCATGATGCAATTATTAGCAACAAAGTGAACAAACCGGCGATGAATGCTAACACATAGCTGTGACTAGAAAGCATACATTGGTCTATAGTCGCCTAAATTTTCAAGGATTGTAGTTGCAACATTTAGTTATATTTCTGCACCACCAACAATGATCATTCCCTGGGAATTTCAGATATATAGCCCGTTACATGATTTTACATCTGCTACAGATTGAAATCACAGTTGAAGGGTAAATGCACCCCCCTTCAAGAATTCAAATCATTCAGCTCATTTGCCACGAATGTGTCTCACATATTTCAGTTCTCATACACTCATACATTGATACATCATGTCAAATTGTTAGAAACAATAATGCAGTAACCTACTGTATTGAAGTTTCACATGTTATCTTAGACAGCATAGTAATTTTACAAAGAACTCCAGTCTCAATCTACAGAACACAAATACTTACTAATTTGCTGAAGGAAAACAGCCAAATTTCAAAGTGCACATAAAACACAGCCTATTGCCTATTACCTTCTCTTTTACCATGACTTCTTGAATCAACATCCACTGGTTCTGTATGCCAAAATTTACATTTTTCACCATATGGGCATGTCCTCTTAAAGTTGAACTTGCAGGTTTTATGAGAAAATTTGCATCTGTCCCCGTAATGGCATTTTCCAGTATTCCGAAAATTCCAGCATAATGCTATTCTGTACTTGGATTTACCAGTAACAGAGCCTCTATTAGCAGGAAACAGTGCTTCTGAGGGTCTCTTGGCCATACTGAAGTTTGTAACAGGAGATCAGTAATCAGTTCCTGACTGAGAAAAATAACCAGCAACAGAAGGCGGTCTTGTAACTCGCCTGCAGACTGCAACAACATTTTTATTTCCTTTCGATTGATCAAACAGAAAAACAAATTCAATCAGAGTTTAAATTAGCATTTCACAAAATCAAGAACACCCATTGAATTTCTTTTAACTCTACACCTTGACAGAATGACAGGAGAAATTTAGAACAACTTGCATTGTCTTTTTTTTTTTTAAACAATGTAACAATAATACTGTAACATTTTCAGATAACTAAAAATTCCCAGAAATATAAACCCATAATTAAGAATTCAATTCCCATATAAAGCAGAAATTGGGGAAGAATACATGATCCACGAAAATTCAAACCCACCCTTCTTTCTTGGGGTTACTTAAGTCCTAATCTTTCCCAAAATTATCAAATAATTAACACATACATTAACATCTAAGCCCCTTTTTATGAATTATAATTTCGACCAACAATCACATATTGACTTAGATAAAACATAATCAAGCTTCTTCTATTTTAATTATCAATACTCAATTCTTAACACATTATAGCAAGTTAAATATCATTTGGGTATCTCAATTATAAAATGGCTGAGATTATAAGACTCAAATTACAAATAAAGATAAAAAATTTCTTGCCTGAGATTGGCGAACTCCTTAAGTCTTTGAACAAGAAGGCTTCAAGATTAAGATCATACAAGTATAAGATCATATAAGAATAAGCAATGACGGTATCCGGGGAATAAGCATCGGCTAACTCTGTGGCAGCAGCCGCCCTATCGTAATGATAAACGGCTCGTCTCGCCGTGACCTTCTCTTTCCAAACTTCTGTCACTGCCTCAGCTGTGCTATCTGCAGTGACGGGGAAGTAGGAATAGGAGAGCACTCATCTTGGGGTTGGCTAAGGAAACTATTCTCTGCTTTCTTTGAGAATTTTTAAAGTGATAAATATGCGAGTAATGCAATTGGACAGAAATGGGAGTGTTATTGTTGTTACATTAGAAATTGTTCCGTTTTAAATGTCCTCTTTTTTTCCCGGGAAGAAGAAAAATAATTTATTGTATCAGGATGATTTTTGTATTCCCGTCAAATTGATTATACCTTTCTCATAACGGGTTAATCTTACTTTTTTATAGATGCTTCTTATAATTTAATCATAAACTTACAAATCTCGTTCATTAAATCATTCATGAGACTTCCAACATTAGATTTTATTAAGTTGAATGTACTTGTTATGCACTATATACCAAAGAAGTTCTTAGCAACAGCTATAGTCATTTAAAAGTTCGGTTGTACTCCCTGTTGGAAATTCTCGACGGAAAAACAAAGAAAAGAAAGAGAAAAAAAAGTGAAAAAAAGTTCCGAATGAAAAGAAAAAGAGTGTTTTTCCTTAGTTATATTACGCATATTGTAGTACTTTAATACTGTAATACTTAGTTGAGAAAGTGAGAGATGGGTTTTATACCACAGCACACGCGCACCTAGTCGGGTTGACCTCGAGACTTGAGGAATGCAATGCGTGGGTGGGCCTCTTTAGTTTTGGTTTGATTTTATTCCTTTTTTGAACTGGCCTTGTTTTTGGAATATTGTAATTAGTAACGATATTTTCTAGCGGTTGGGATTCCGGTTGTTATGCCTTGATTGTTGCTGACTGTTATAAACTTAATGGGTGTTTAATTGCGCCATTAAGTGACCGTTTTACCATTTTCTTATGCGGGACGTTGGCTTCTACTCTACTATATTCACCAACCTTCGATCTCAACATCAGAAACACGGCAAATACTCTCATACATCCTCACTTCTTTAAACATTAAACACACTAGTATCCTTTATGGGCAAGTATTCTGAGTTCCAATCGAATTTGTGAGTACACACAAACTTCGGCACCGTGCTTATCCTGAAAGGCGGCTACTTCACGTTTATTGAATCAGGGGTAGCGCGGAATCATCTTTTAGGTCATTGGTTCACCACAACACAACCATTGTCAGGTTCCGCAACATCAAGAAAAGTAATTTATGTTTTTTTAGGAAACGGATGGAGTAACTTAGATTGCTTAAGAATATTTCCATAACAACAAATCCTGTATAGTAATGTATAAGGCAGACTTTCGTTTAATTTTATTGAAAAATGGTCAAAGGATAACTTTAACAATGTATACTTTATAAAGGCTTGTATGATTATTTAATTAATACGTCATGAGTATTTTTTAAAGGTAAAAATTGTGTTTTAAAAAATGGTAAATTCCACCTATTAAGAAATAATTAAAATGCAGCTAGTAAAGGTAGGGGTATCTGTTCGGTTTAGATTTAGGCCAAATCCGATCCGATCTGAAATATAATTTGGTTATAAAATTTCCAATTCGATCCGATCCGAATTTCATTTCCAATCCAATTCGAATTAAAATTCGATTATTTGGATCCGATTCAAAAAATCCGAATTAAAATACGTTAATTTTCAGCGCCTTTTACGATTATGAAAATAAAAATGCAATATAAAAGTAAGAATTGTCTAAGCCTTAATATGAATACAAGTCTACAAAATCTTGCTTAAATTAAATAGTTCAACAAGGCTTCAAAATAGTAACATCTAGTCATCAATTTATTTTATACACCCTTCGTTTTTAAATACTTGCTCTACTTTTCATTTTCGGCCGTTTTTAAATACTTGCTTCATTTTTTTATATTGAAAGTTTTTACAATATTTAATTCATTTCTCACAACTAATGGGACCCAATAGAATTATATTTTATTACTTTTAGATTCGCTCTCTTCCAATTTACCTTCCACTAACCCCACTACCTCCATATTTCATTACTTTCTCCAACTTCTCCTAAAACTCCCCGCATGGAGAAATGGAGCAAGTATTTAAAAATGGAGGGAGTAGTAAGTATTTGGACTAAACTCCAAAAGCCCAATTTTCAAAGTAGTCCATATTCATTACAAGCTTAATTTTACAATTCTGTTTGAATCCAATTAGAGTCAATCCAATCCAATCCGAAAATTCAAATTTTCAAAAAATCTCAATCCGATCCGATTTAAAGTTCAAATCCAATCCAGTTAATGATTCAGTTTGGATTGGATTGAATTTCGATTTTAATCTAAATTATGGTCACCCATTAAAGGGAAACGGGGCCTATCCCCTCGAGTGCACCAAAAAAAAAAAAACAAAAAAAAAAACCTGTTAAACGGGCAAAAGTAACCCTGTTTTGGAAACGGATAGAGTACACAGTGAATAAATAAAAACAAACGTACAAAAAACAACTGGAAATCGGATTGTTTAAGGCACCCTTCTTGAATAAGGGTCTATCAGAAACCAAAGAAGAGAGATCGAATTGGAAGAGGTGATCCGAGCAACTGACGAAACAGATTGAAAGGTAGAAGATTATAGAGGATCCATGTCTCAACAGCTTTTTGAGCTTCTTTCTTCTCTCCTCAATGAGGTATACACCATTAATCTTTTCCATCTGTCAATTTTACACTTGCTAAACTCTTACAATCTACCTTGATTTTGTTGGAATTCTCTTAATTTTGAATTGGGTACTTACAATTTGTAGATTTAGTGGAATTCAATTAATATTGAATTGGGTATTTTAAATTTTGTAGAATGTGTAGAATTTTAGGTGATTGAGTTGATAGAACATGTTGGATTTAGACATTAGTAATACACCCTTTTGGATTTTGATGTTTTGTACTCAAATTTCACATCTTTTATTTGAGGAAGTTAGTCAATGTAACATGTTAATGGAGCTGGTAATTGTGGTAAGGGGAGAACTAATGACTGGGTTTTGCTTCATCTATTGGCTGAGAAAGCAGTTTGGGTTACTAAGATTTGAACAGAATTAGTCATAGTTTAAACTCAAACTATTATAGGAAACGACTTAGGATTGGAATTGTGTCGTTAATGGATCGTGGGGATTGTACAATTTATTCAACCTCGTGTGGTTATGCCTGAAACTTACAGATTTGTTTCAAGCATTTGGTCCCTGTGTAAGCGGTGTCTAAATTAGCTTGGACTTCACATGATTTTGATCATTCCTTGTTGCCGTGGAAGAAGATTTTTTTTAATATAATTTCCCCTTGACTCAGCCCCTTTGGTGGAGCTTGGCTCTCGTACGCAGTGTTCCAATCAACTTGAAATCAGATAATATTTTCTTATTTCTCCTTGCTGCAGCTGTAGAGCTCTATCTAACAATTGTTTCTGAACAAAATACAGCAAGGGGCCATGGGGCTGTGGCATCTAATTTGATCATGCTCAAGGTTCTGTATCTAATTTACCTAATTACTCTAGTTGCATGATGTCGCATAACTCACATCTTTCCAATATACTTTGTCCCTGAACCAGCCTACTTTTGTCCAGTTTATTTCACAAAAGTCATTAGATTAGAAGCTATGGTGACTTGGTGAATATAAGTATATTACAACAGAACCATTCTATAAAAATTAACATTTTGTTTGGATAGAAGGAAATGAAAAGAAAAGAAAGGAAAGGAAGAGAAAGGGAGGGGGACAAACTCTCTTGTTTGGGTAAAGGATTGGGGGAAGGAAGGGAAAGGAGAGGGAGGGATCCATTTTCCCTCTCTCTTTAATAAGCATTTCTCCAAATTTGGAGAGATTTGGAGGGAAAATGGAGCTCACCTCCCCCTCCCTTTCTTCTCTCTTCCCTTCCTCTTCTATCCCTCCCCTTCCTTTCCTTCCTTGTTTCCTATCCAAACAAAGCGTGAGGCTCATATTTTGTAGCTTCCACAGTCAAATCATGAAACCTTCAGTAAGTCAGTCGGGTTTAATAAAGAAATTCCTGAAAGGGAATTATTTGGTCCATTTTGACTTTTGACTTACTATTATTGTGATATTCTATCTGTTCTTTTAAGCATTTTGGGACTAAGCTGCTGTTGTTGCTGTTGTTGTTATTCTATCTGTACTTCCCCTGATTGTAGCTGCTAGCTCCTGTTATTCTTTAATTGTAACTTAATTTTCTATCCATTACTTGAAACCTAGGCATTAATCCAGCTGTCCTTGGCAATCTCAGTGCTTTTTTTCAGTTTACTTGTTCCAATAAATCTCTTTGAATTAAGGGTCCATTGTTTGTCCAAGAATCAACCCATGCAGTTAAGTAGCTGGAAATTGCAGTGCTTCTTATGATTGAGGGTTGAAAAAAAGGGAAAAATTGTTAGAAGTTAACCTTTTAAATGACATTTTTTTTGTCAAAAACTACCTTATAAAAAAAAAAAAAATTGTGAGAACATACCATTTAAACAAAATTTTTTGCGAGGACATACCACTCACCAAATTTTCAAGTTTGACCTCAAAAACACGGCGTTGACCAGTCATGTGCCGATCACGTGACTTCATTAAACCCTTTTTTTTTTTTTTTCTTGTTTCCTATTCTTTTCCCTCATCTTTTTCACCACTTACCCCTTAATGATACCCAATACCTTCTCTCTCCTCAATTTATCTCTCCTCTAACACTATGTTTGGATAACACTAATGAACGGAAAGGGAGGGGAAAGGGAGGAGGTGACCTTCCATTTCCCCTCCAAATCTCTCCAACAATGGAAGGATTTGGTTTATTAAAAGGGGAAGGAAAATGGATCCTTCCAATTCCCTTCCGTTCTCTCCTTACATTAGGTATCCAAACAAAGGATGATGCATCCTTTCTTTTCTCCTCCTCCTTTCCCTCCCTTTCTCTCTATCCGAACATAGTGTAAAAGCATTCAATCAAAATTTCTTCTAGAAATTGAATCTTTGTAGAAATTACAGACGACAAGTCTAAATATCTTAATTCGAATATGTATGTTACTTTAATTTTTGAAAATTTAAGTGTAGTGGTTGTTTGACAAATTGTGTAACTATATTAGAGTTTAATTGGGGATTTCTGTATGTTAATATTTCTGGCCTATTCGTGCAGGTCAATGGCATCTTTAAATAGTAGTTGGTCCCTCTTGCTTCCCGTGCTTGCTTTAGCTTTCCATTTCTCTATGACTGCACCTTTAATCATGTTTAATAGTTGGAGAAACTTAGATGCAAAGCCAAAAAAAAATAAAAGAAAAATTGATAGCACCAAATAAGTAGTACACTTACCTTAATTGTGGTGGTTAAAGTCCTAGCGTGTAGTATAATTTTCTTCAATGTAATTTAATTTTTGACATCCTTTGCTACAGTAGATCGATGGAGTTATTGCAGGAGGGGATGAATTGAGGAGAGAGAAGGTTAGTCAGGGGTAAGGTGTGAGAAAGATGAGGGAAAAGAATAGGAAAAACGGAAAAAATTGGGTTTAATGAAGTCACGTGACCGGCACATGACTGTTCAACCGCCGTGATTTGAGTTCAAACTTGAAAATCCGGTGAGTGGTAGGTATGTCCTTGCAAAAAAATTTGTTTTAATGGTATGTTCTCACAAAAAAAAAAAAAATTATAAGGTAGTTTTTGACAAAAAATGTCATTTAAAAGGTAGTTTCAACAATTTTTCCAAAAAGATATTAGTGAGTAATAAAAATCCTATAAGCTGAGGATAAAGGAAGTGGGTTGAATCTTTTGTACCCTTCTTATTGTTGGAGATCAAATTCAATCTGACAAAACAAAACACTGATCTGGTGCTCCTTGCTGGCATGAAAGAAAGTACAAACAAGCTGTACTGTGCCTTACTAGCTCATTGCTTATGAGTGATGAACTTACTTCAGTGAAATTTCTCTCTTGGCTACTGGAAGACAGTTCCATACTGGAGTTTCATGCTTGCTTGATTTCATATTCTCCTTTGGACCAGAAAAGAATCTTTGATTGTTTGCTTTTAATTGTACACTCTATTTGTTTAAGCCTTAGATAATGTCAGCTTTGTAATATTTTGATGTTGATATCTCATATTGTCCTTACAGTAAACAAAGAGGCCAGCACCTTGCGCTTTAGCACTGTGCTCTAATACCTCTTACAGATACCAGTTAAGACTTTCTATATTCCCTTATAAGGAAAGATGTGTCTCTTTGGTATGATAATTGAGCATCAATGTTCTTTGTTGCGTACTCTGTTTAACACATTTATGCATTCAAAGTGAAGACACTAGTAATTATATGGGGAAACTACAGTTGGTAATATTTTGTTAATCTGCTTTCTGAAGAGATTCGCCAACTGGTTTTGAAGTTTTAATTTGTTTAAATGTTCCTTTTCTTTTATTATAATACTCTTTTTTCTGGGAGGCAATAGTTGTCTTTTACGGTGTATATTCAATCCCCTGATATTTGTATTGCTGGATTTATTTCCCCTTCAAAATCACTCATTGCGGCCTGCTGTGTAGGTGGAGTCATTATCAAATGAAGAAGAAGTTGATTTACGTGCTAAAATTGAAGCACTTAAATCAGAAGTTACAAAAGTACCTTCTCAATCTCAACAACATACTGATGATGAGGTATCTTCCTTCTCTTGGGACTTTTTCCTTGCAAAATTGGGTTTGAGGTACTTGATTCTCATCATCTGTTGCTTGTGTCACTCAGTTGGAGCTGGCCAGTAAAATGGATAATTTGTCATCGAAGCTTGATGAAGTGGATAAGATGATTTCATCTACAGATCCTCAAGTAAAATCACTATTGAGTAGTACTGCTGATGTATGGATGCCTGTTATAACAGCTACTTCAGAGGAACGTCGTAAATTTTCATCATCAGTTGAAGGTCGAGAGCCTGAAGTAAAAGCAAACGCATCCAAAAAGACACCGTAGGGCAATTATGCCTTATAAGTAACAATTTTATGCAAATGCAATGATTCACTCCATTTGGTACTATTTTGTATGTTTCGGAGAAAAAGTACTTATTTGCTGTTTGTAAAATAAGCACATAGCATGCTGGACAGTTTCTTCATTCCTTTGTAAATTCAATATATGAGCCTAACATCCTTTCTGATATATGTACGTATATACTATGTACATGCCTTTAAGTAACAAGTCCATGATCTATGTGACTGTTTTGTGTCAATTTATTCTGCCTTTCTGGTGTTCTAAAATTATTCATTTGAAGTTGTTCAAAATTCATTGGCTACTTTACAAACTCTTTCAAGTCTCTGAGATTGTTTCACACAAGCTTACTATGAAACATCAGAAGTTGTGAACTGTTAAACATCGCCCGCAAATTCCTACATAAAGCCCACAAAATAAGAGTGAAATGACACTTTTGCCCTCAAACTAAAAAACACAATTTCTCTCTCTACTCTCTACTTCCACTTTCTCTCTCTAAATTATTTCCAGAGCTATGTCGAGGCGGCCCGGCAAGGAAGTGGCGGCACCGGCGGTGGGCGGAAGGCGGTTTGCCGGCCAGAAGTTAATTTTTTAAATTTTTGTAATTTTTTTTTTAAAAAAAAAACCTCCGGCGACGGTGGGGCGCCAAGGCGAGACGCCACCACCACGGAGGAAACGCCTAGGCAAGACGCCCATACGGTGGTGGCGGCGCCTAGCCCAGACGCCACTACCACGGCGGCGGCGCATAGGCTAGGCGCCACGGCCGTGGTAGTGGCGTCTGGGCTAGGCGCCGCCACCACCGTACGGGCGTCTTGCCTAGGCGCCTCCTTCTCTTTTTTTTTTTAAAATTTTTTTTTTTGTTTTTTTTTAATTTTAAATTTTATTTTCGAATTTTTTTTTTTTTTTTTTAAAAATTTGTTTTTCTTTTTTTTAAATTGTATGTTCCCTTTTTTTTTTTATCTTTTTTTTTTTAAATTTTGTTTTTTTATTTGTTTTAATTTTATGTTCTATTTTTTTTTAAAAAAAAAAATTGTTTCTGGTTTTAATTTTTAATTTTATGTTCCTATGTATTTTTTTTTTTTTTTTTTTGAATTATATTTTTGTATGTAAAAAAATTATAAGTTCCCTTTTTTTTTTATAAATTTTCTTTAAAATTTTGATGTTCTTCTTTTTTTAAGTTTTTGCAATTTTAAATTTTTTAAGTTTTGTTAGTTTTTTGTTTTTGGTTTTTTCTTTGCATTTTTGATTTTTTGTTTTTGTTTATGTTTTTCATTTTTTAGTTTGTTGTTTATATTTTTTGTTTTTGGTTATATATTTTGTTTTTGGTATATTGTTTTGTTCATATTTATATTTTTTTATGTTTATATTTATATTTTTTATGTTTTTATTTATATTGTGTTGTTTATATTTTTATTTTTTATGTGGGGTGACTGCCATGTGTGACCAGCACTACATGGAATGGTACATCCGGCACTCGCACCCGAGGTTGATCAAAGACATCGACGACGCAGATGATGACGATGTGCCACCTGCCACTGCCTCTTATGCGGTACGTCTCATCTTTTATTTGTTGTTCTCTTATTTTAATATATATATGTATAATACGTCGTTTCATGTTTTTTGTTTTGTGTAGTGGATGGGCAAGATTATGCAGTTGGGACACCGACTTTTTGAGGAAAGGGACTGCATGACGAGTGCATCAGGCAGAGCTGTTATTGACGATCTGGAACGGACCCTTGAGCAGTGGCAGTGGGCGTCACAGAGGGATTACTGATATTTGAAATTAGACATTATCTTTTTAGTTTGTAATATTTGAAATTATTGTTCTTAGTTTTTAAAATTCAATATTATCTTTTAAAAATGAACACATAGAAATGACATAGTATTGACAATACAAGGCCTCATAGTAAAAGGTAGGTGTACATCAACAAAAACTACATGGCAATTAAATTGTTCCACTGTTGCACGCGAGCATGGTACAAAGCATCCCAACCCTCCACGCTTGCTCTACGAATTTCATACCACTTCGGTATGATATGTGGGACCGGAAAATCGGGTGACATGTCTAATCGGATAAAATGTCTGTATGACGGCCCAAGAAATCCAATAGCAACGTCCCTTACCGGTCTGGTGACGGTCTCGCGCGAACACCAGGGCAGAACCGTTGTACATGGATAATAGGCTCGACTATGTAAACCAAGGCCGAAATGCATGACTGCACACTTGTAGATGTTTGCAACGGCAAAGAGATCAAGTGGCGCATCGAACCAATGATTTTGATCGCAAGGTCCCCCTCCCCACCGGATACGCTGCAGAGACCTATCCAAGTCCTCGCCGTACACATGGCCATACACATCTCGGTTTGATGCGATTTCACTGTACATCAACTGCCGCACTAAACCGTAGTTGTCTTCACCCATTTGAAACACATCCGCCACAACCCGAAATCCGCAGTTACCATCTGCAATGACATCATTCCACCCGTCCAAGAATGGAATCATGATATTAGGGATCCTGTCCTTATATGGAAAATGTTCAATGTCCATTCTCCCTGTTACACACATCAATAAACACAATAAACAAGTCAACAGTAAACTAATCAAACAGTCAACAAAAGAAATTGAAGTCGAATGTCTTACCGGTGCCGGGCATATTCACCGACGACGATGATTGGCTGCCACTTGATGAGGATGTACGACCACGGCCACGGCCACGGCCACGACCGCGAATGTACTCAAACGCACTCTTGTTCCGCCGTGGTTGTCGACCCCTAGGTCGCTCGACCCCTTCCGGTTCCTCGGTATCCAAACACGATGTATTGAACATGTCATGAAGTATGTGTGTAGCACTACGAATGATCGAAGGGTGACTGGAGGACACTTGGTCAAACATCAACTGAAACTGCTCCAACTCCTCCTGTTCACGGTGAACCGTATGCGGAACAGCATGCTCTCCGATAACGAGCGTCCGCCAGAATGGATGAACCTGATCGACATGTAACGACGCCCTGTCTTGCGTAATTACGCGGTGAATGGTGCATGCACAAGGTAATCCATGAGTCACTGATATAGCACATCCGCACCGAATAGCCACTTCATCGCCCAACTCCCTCATCCTGGTATACTCGCTCAGAATCAACCCCAAACAGTGGTGTGACACACGACCGTGGAGAATCTTAAATATGAAATGGCCATACAACATGCCATGTCGTCGTCTGGAGTCCTCGAGATAGTTCTTGATGCCGTTCCTCTGAGTATCAATAGCCTTGTTTATTCTCTCGAACAGTGTATCCAGAGCAGCCGTGGAAGAATCAATCCAGTCCTTCAAAGCTCTATGAGCGCTCTCGACTCTGCATGTCGTAGTGTTCCCAAAATGAAGAACTTGGTTCGTCCAATATTTGACAAACTTTTCCCTCTGAGGTACCCACTGGTGCATCACATAGTCTACGATTGGCGGGCACCACTTGTACGCATCCTTGAAGTTTTCCAAGGCTCGATCGTACTCTGCCTCTGTGGTAGCTTGCATGATCTTCCGCCACTTACCATTTACCAATGTCTCTGCTGTTACTAAATTCTTGTTGAAAAGATTGTAGGCTTTGACTTTCACGCAGTTGTTGATGTGCCATGTGCACAGTAAATGGCTCGACTCCGGAAACAGCTCCGCTATAGGGGCAAAAAGACCTCCCTCACAATCACTTACGATGGCCGATGGCTGTACATTTGGGCCGATGTAGTTTCTCAACTTTTCCAACACCCAACGGTAACTCGCAGCCGTCTCATCCTTCATGACTGCATAACCAATCAGAAAGTTCTGGTTCGTTGGAGCCATCCCAACCATCTCAACCAGTGGGAACTTGTACTTGTTTGTCTTGTACGTTGAATCGATCAAAATCACAGATGGCCAAGACGAAATCATATCAGCACAATCAGTATGGACAAGGAACAAATGAGTTACCTCCGATGTGTCTTCGTCAGATTCAAACCAGTAAAGGTAACCACGTGCTTGTGCCTGGTGCAGAAGCTGCTGTATAGGGTTCCTTCCCTCTGACCGTTCAAACCTCAATTTCTGTCTGACGTTGTAGATGTGTCTTCGGTTTGGCTGGTCTTCGGGGAATTTCTCTAACACAGACGCTAATATTTTAGCGGGCTTCACTTGAGCATCACTCATTTCTTTTACAACTAGTTTCGCAGCTGGACTTAGGCCGCTTAACTGCCGATGCCCCACTTTGTATGCTATCAGCTCATGGTTGTGATATCCCCATTTGCCGTAACCCTTCACTTCCCAACCGTCACGCCTTTGATGTTGTCGAACCTTAACTCGGAACTGACACCCACAACCTTTCCGCTTTGAGTCAAACCGAATCGCTTTACTGAAATCTCGTTCTTCTCTTTTGCGATAACGGTCGCATCTCAAAATGCGATCCATTCTACCATCCCGTTGAGATTTATGAGTTGCTACTACTAAACAAAAGCCTGATCTAATTGCAACCTGTTTTGCCCAATCAATCGCTTGTTGAGCATCTTCGAACAGGCCATCATGTACAAAAATCCCACTGTAATCATTTCCGTCTCCACCATAATCCTGTAACAATAACATATAACGTATAAATATAATTACATTAAGATTAAATTAATACACTTAACACAAAATTATCACAAACGCAATTTCTAAATTTTAAATTTCTAAATATCATTTTTATATTTAACGCATAATACATTTAAAAAACAAAATAATAACACACATTTCATTTCAAATTTATCAAACATAAATAAACAAACAAATTAAAAAATAAAAAAAAAATAAAAAAAGAAAAACAAACAAAAATAAAAACAAACAAACAAATAAAAAATAAAACAAAAACAAAACCAAAAAAAACAAAAAAAAAAAAAGGGGATTAAATTAAAAAATAAAAAAAAAAAAAAAATATATATATATTCCCCTAGTGGCGCCTGGCCAGGACGCCGGAGCCACGGCCAGGGCGCCTGGTCAGGACGCCGGAGCCACGGCCGGGGCGCCTGGTCAGGACGCCGCCGCCATGGTGGCGGCGTCCTGGCCAGGCGCCCTGGCCGTGGCTCCGGCGTCCTGGCCACGCGCCACTACCATGGTCGAGGCTTCTCCACCAGGCGCCGTTACCACGGTGGCGGCGTCCTGGCTAGGCGCCACAACCACGGCATGGCCTTTTGGCTAGGCGCCAGCCACCATTTCGTCCTTACGATGCGTTACGAACCTCGTTTTCCGATGAC